GGATCCATTGGGAACGATATACTGGAGACGGGAGGGGAAACAGTAATGAGGTCTGAACGGGAGAACACTTTAGAAAAAACATCATTCAGCACATTAGCGCACAAGTTCACTGGGACAGGGTCCCCTGAATTTGAAACAAGTTGTAACGAACACTCGTCTTTTGGGGGAACAACATTCCAGAAACGCTGCGGATTGGCAATCAATAATGATGGCAAAGTCGTACGATAAAAAATGTCTTTACATCTATTCAACTCAATTTTGTAAATGTTAGCGCAGTCCTCATAGCTCTGCCATGATTGGGGCGTACCGGCTCGACGGGCAACTCGAAAGAGCCTTTGATTTTTATTGCGTAGCGATTTGAGGCTGCGGTTAAACCATGGATTCGAAGACTTCGTTGTTATATCAATACAAGGTATATATTTTTCCACTAAATCACATAATTTATCTTTAAAGAGACACCAGTTTACGTCCACACTTCTACTCTCAAAATTAGTATTAAAAGACAAAATATTCGGACAGACTGTTGCAGAGCTGCTCATAATTCCCTTTCTCATACAGCAGTATACTCTTTTGAACGCGCAACGGTTTCTGGATTTCCACGCATATAGGGCAGTAAATTACCCGATGATCGCTCACGCCATCAAAACAGGTTAGAGGTGATTCTACAAAACCCGGATGAGTAGTTAGCACGAGATCTAAAATACTAGAACAGGAATCCGTCACCCTAGTAGGGACGGACACAAGTTGAAAAAGATTAAAATCCAAACACATGTCAAGGAATTCCTTGCACAAACCATTCCCTTTAGGACAAACGGGGACCGCAGAGTTCCAATTAACGCATGGAAAATTAAAGTCACCGAATAAAAAAACAGGGTGCGCCGGATAGAGAGCAAACAGGGTAGACAAGTCGTCGTGCAGACGGCTGGTGAACGAATGGGATTCCGAAGGAGGTCGATAACAAACGCCTACCAAAATAGGTTTGAAACTGCATTGTATTCGTACCCAGACCATTTCGAGGCACGAAGCAGTCGGAACAAGGGTGCTTTCATTACTTTCATCGACCCCGATAAGGACACCGCCTCCACGTTGATCATCCCTGTCACGCCGGTAAATAACCAGATTAGGGTGCTCAGGAAATATCTCACTATCTTCAATTCCAGGTGATAGCCATGTCTCAGTTAAGACGATGACGTTAGCATTACACGAAGAAATAAGAGAACATATATTGTCGCGTTTATTCAGGATACTACGTGCGTTCGTGTACAATACATTAATACCGCTACTTGATTTTTGGTTATGAAGAAAGCCACCCCCGGCGCGTCCTATCTGGGGATTTCTTTTACGGACAGAGACTGAGAATCATAACTGTAAATCCTGGAACCAATGTGCAACTTGTCGAAACGAAGCTTAAATGATACGTTCTGCGCCCTGGCAAAGTCGAGAAAAAACTTCCGCGCAGTTCGAACATTCGGCGAGTAGTCCTCCGACAACGAGTAGGGGGAGCCCTTCAACTTATGGCCACAAAGAAGCAACTGGTTTTTTAATTTAAATGAGGCGAATTTCACAATTATTGGCCTAATGTTTCCTTCCCGAGAACCACCCACTCTGTGAGCCCGTTCAATATCAGCGTTTCCCAAGGCGACACCAAGTCTGTCTTTCACGACGGTGATTATATTTTGCTCGGACGTCTGCCATGACTCCCCAGCGTCATCCGGCATTCCGTAAAAAAGAAGGTTGCAACGACGCGAATGATTTTCTAGGCTGTCAATACGACTCAATAAATTCGAAATAGTAGCAACCTGTACATTCAGCGTGTCCTCTAAGTCGTTTATGGCGGATTTAGCCTGACCAATATAGGATATCTCGCTTTCGATTGAGGCAATCCTGCTGTCGAGTCAGGAAAGGCCGCTATCCAGCTCTTTTTGTCTTTCCAGTATGGTTTTTATGTCCGAATTTATAGCTCCTTGTCCCCCATGGAGGCTGGAAGAGTTAGAGTCGATCTTTTGTAAGAGAGCGAACATTTCGTTGAATTGTTTGAGTTCAGCGGCAGACATCGGCCCCGGATTCAGCTCGACATCTCCGGAAAGCATCAAGATATGTCTAATCACATTGACAGAGTCGCAAGCAATATCAGCAAGCACCCCTGGGCATGGGAGCACAACAAGAAACAGGTTACTCGTCCTTTTAGCATGCAAAGAATATCGTTTACAAACCTGTACAAAGAAGAACATTTCTTGGTTAGCTGACTCGAACGGACAGCAGCTCCCATGCCCACTGAGGCGGCCACGGCTTGGAACATCCTTATAAAGGCCGACAGACTTGCATCCTGGGTACATCGATGGCGATTCGGATGACGTGGGGCCCACAAGGACGCCACGCGCAGGAGAAAGGGATGATTCCGTGTAGCAAGAAGGTGGCGATGACGCAGCGTTTACTGCGGCGAGCACGGTCACGGCAGCGACGATCGTCCTCGGGCGCAGATACCAAACGAAGGCGAAAATCGGGAGCTGTACAAAGAAGAACGTTTTTTGGTTAGCTGACTCGAACGGACAGCAGCTTCCATGCCCACTCATGCTAAGTACTGGAACAGAAAGAAAAGAAAAACAAAACGATTTCATGTTACAAACTTATGGCTAGCGTTGATCAGCTATCAGGGGTTGTGCACCGAGCGCGAACAGCCGCCGAGTGCTTGGCTCAGTTGTGCGCGTGTGCAACTCGTGACACCAAATACACCGCTTCACCTGGCAGATGGTGCCACAGGTACACGAGGCCACGCGCTCCGCTGGTCCATTTCGTTTAGCTGAACAGACGAATCCCCCCCCCCCCCCCCACACACACACACAAAAAAAAAAAGGAAACATTAACAAGAACGACAATTAAGTACCATTATTTGTTACAACCTCAAAAAGTAAGTAAATACGTTACTGGCTACCGATTCTCGATATGAACGCGTTACGTTACCTCTAAAGTAACGAATTACTTTTTTCTCGTTACTTTGACGACCAAATACATATCTGCTCTTGTTTCATGGTTTATAGTTTTCTTTTCAGTAGTCGTTGCTCTTAAGCAGCAGTTGCCTCTCCAAGTTTTCACCAGTTACGTTTCCCCGCTTGCTTGAGAACACATCTCCGGCGGCGTTGAAGCGTCGTTCTACTGGCGCGGTCGAAAGAACGGCACTGTTGTGCTTCAGAAAGTGCTGATGAATCTGGGATTCCTCCTTCTCTTTTGTTCTCTCTCTCCTCACGTTACAAGTCGACAATGGGTTTTGTGCCTTCATGTGTCGGCAACCTCCGGGTTTACATTCGGTCTGTATGCAATTCTAGAAGGTTCAACCAAAGAACCTTATTGTGTTCGCTGGGTGAAGGACATTCCCAGCTGCAGAGTTAGACTGACACGGTTCAGGGATTAACGTTGCTATACTGTCATACTGTTCAGTGTTTTTTTGGATTGCCCATCTGCCTTTGTCACAATAGACGCCTACTCAGGTTAGAATTAAAACAACGCTGTATAGATGCTGTTGTACAGAGTGTCACTCAAAAAAGTTTACTGTTTTTTTTTTTCTCCGCAAAAATAACCTAGGTGTGGCCGAACGCTCGTTCTTAGCGCAAGAGGTCTGAACCGGATGCCGAAGTTTCAGCCAGAACCGATATCTTATTCAAAAGCTTCAAGGGATTTTGTTAACATTTCAATGGAAAAATGGTGTCCAACGGAGCTCTCGAATGCATGGCGCCCTATTGATATTATCACAAATCACTTATAACTTTTGAATGAGATAATGGTTGGGGCTAAAATTTTGGCACCTAATTCGAACCTTCAGAGCTACCTTTGGGTGGAGAATGAGAGTTCGGCGATACGCAGTTTATTTCTGCAATAAAAAAAAAAAAAAAAAAAAAAAACTTTTAATTTTTTTTTTGGACACTCTGTGCAAGTTACTCCTAAACCGTTACTTGTTACACGGCTGTACAAGCAACTAAGTACGTTACTCATTCTTTTTCTAAAAAAAAGTAACGAAATACGTTACTGGTTACCGAAAACAAGTCACTAGGTAGAAGTATCTCGTTGCTAGTTACGCGTTACGTACATGTCTGGTCCGGGCCGCAGACTGCCGGGGCTACGCCTGTTAAAGTTCTACTAAATAACGATTATTCACGAACAAGAAATGATGAAACATTTGTTGGTGGCTTTGTCGGCTGCAGTTCATACAAACCACGAGTCCTATCATAGCCTCCTCTATTGTCACAAAACCTTGCAGTTCGACAACGGAGCCATAGTGTGCCCGGTCGCAGATTTGGAGCACGAGGATCTGGTAGCACATAGCATCGAAGAGCCATTTCTCGGGGAACCTGGACGTCAGCGCACAACTTTTGCAGCGGCGAGGACCCGAAACGCACTTCGCCAATAGGGGGAAAAAAAAAAGTATAGTGTGTTTCGGCGTCTTGCCGCAGCGGGGCGCCAGTCACGTGGCTCTCCCCCTCTCATCCCTTGTCTGCCGCTCCAACTTTTCCATTTCGGCGGCCGCTTCTCATGGTGATCTGCCAGGCTTTATCAGTCTATAGGAGGCTAGGGTCCTGCTTTCCGTTCACACAAAAAAAAAAACAAAAAAACTAACAAGCAAAAAACCTTAGTAAAGAAAAAAAAATAACCTCTCAGAATTTTATGAAACCTATCATCCAAAATTAGTTAAAGCAAATAAAAGAAATATATATCAAATGTTATGGTTCACAAGCGTGAAGGGGTTAATTTGGTTACCGCTAAAACATAATAAAAAAAAGGTTAATTGTTCTTTTAAATTGTAGAAGAATCAGGGACTATGTACTTTGATACAAGTGTAAAGTTCTCGCACTAGCTGAATAGTACCACGAACGTATTTTCTCTTGACTATTCATTACCAACTTACTACGATTCACAAAGTAATTATCAGAAAGCCATGCGTTCCTTTAAAAACCATTATGTTCGAGGGTAATATAAGCTCATGACTTAAGCGGAATTCTTTTTTTCAGAACCCATGTACAGATCCCATCATCGTTCCGCGCCATCGGGTCATTGTACAAGCTCATCGAGGACTAAACAGCAGCGTCAACTAAGCACATGCAATGAAGCACCCACTCTTCATGATCGTTCTTTTGGCTTGGATAACCAGGCCACGTCCCGGAACCGCGGAGTCGTCATTTCGCCTGTCACGCCAGAAGAATCTAGCCTTTGAGCGACAGGCCCAAGTGCTCAGGCAGGGCTGGTCTCAGTGCAGCAGCAACGGCCCGCCTGGACGCCCCTTCGAAGACTCCGGTGCGGCCACGTCTTTCAAGTATGTCCGCGCCAAGCAGAGGAGGGAGGTGACCGACGGTGCCGCGGCCAACAGTGCGCTGTACCTGGAAGAGGCGGCGGGTGCGCTAAACGTGGACGGCGACCCGAAGGTTCCTTGGCGTCACTTCAGCGTCGCCCTGTGGCTGAAACCCCAGGGCGGTCAACCGAGAGAGTCCGTTGTCTTAGGTAAGGTTTCCACCAGTCTTAACGGAATACTGCTTTTCATATTGTAGAGTGGGAACCAACACGGCATCCGGTGTCTCCGTTGTGTATATAGGGTGACTAAGATAAGCAGGCTCGGTCTAAAATGGGCATTAACAGACGTTGCCTGCACGTAGCAAACTATACTGTCGTCAAAGGTATATTTCACAAGTTGGTGTTTCCATATAAAATCATGAAGCGTAAGTCCCTTTCTCTAAAACATAGGGCCAAGAAACTTGCTAGGGAGAACGGCGGACGGTGACGCAGACGACAGATTCAAGTAGCGGGGCGCGTTTAGTGAACGTATTGATAGATGGCGTCAGGAGCAGCGTTGCAATGTGAAGGCGGCCAGTGAAAGAAAGCAGACGACGCGCAGACGAAATCCGTCGGCAGCCAAAACGCCGTCGTTATGCAACCGCGTATTTTTTTTACTTCGAGTTTTCGTACATTATAAGAGGGTTATGTTCATTTTAGCAGACCACGGTCGTCGCGAACAGTCTCGATCATAGCGTCGGGTCTCGATAACGAGGTAGCGCCATCTATCAGTACGTGCACCAAACGCGTCCCGCCATTCAACTCAGTCGTCTGCGTCGCCACCCCGCTGACCCTGGCAAGTGTTTTGGCATTATTTTTTTACAGAAAGGGAACTACGTTTTGTAATTTTACATAAAAAAAAAAAAAACCGACCAGTGAATTATACCTTTAACAAGAAGATTAGATAGCTTCGTACGGGTTCGTGCCGATTTTTACATCCCATTTTAGGTCGAGCATGGTTATTTCAGTCATTCCATACAACGGAGACATCGGACGCCCCATGGTTCCCACTCCACAATATGAAAGGCAGTATTCCGTAAAGACTGATATAAGCGCATGTAGCAACGACATCGTATAAGACCCCGTAAATAGTTAACGCGTTCTTATATAATTGAAATTCGGGAATACATGAAAACATCATCAACTGTAGGCGACGAGAAACTTAATCACGTGAATTCCGTTTACTTGAGAATGGTCCGCACAAATGGAACGCCAAATTAGTTTCCTCTTAAAAGGTCATCTCTACTCCGTCTCGTTCAGTTTCCCAGCTAGGTCATCATCTTTCTCGCTCTCTGTAATCTAATCTGCCCTTGGCTGCTGACGGGCACGTGTCTGGTAAGGGTCCTCGATCGAAACTTGATTATTCGGGAGACACGAGAAAGTAGCCAGTGTCGTCGTCTTTAGGGTCGGGACTCAAGAGTCCACGTTGATAGCTCGCCCGCTCCACGGGTCTTTCTGAACTAATATTCAGAAAAAAGTGCCTAAACACTTCGACGTGACTGCTAACTTAGAAAGGCGCTTTTGTTTCTGAGCAGCCACTGCAATAAGTACTATTTATGAAATATTTTGTATAAAATCACCCTGCGTTTAATCCGTCTGGTGAATCGAAAAATGTGCCGTTTTAAAAAGAATAGGGCTTTGTCGTTGATCGGTTACAAACTACTGTAATAGTTAAAGTAAACGTTGCCAACTAAGAGGATACTCAGAACAGTTTCCTGCGAGAAAAAAAAAACAACAATATAAAATCTATTTTTTCAAAATGAGAGACCGAAAGGGAAAGCGAAATTAATATGATTAGTGTGACCGGATCTGGGCCTTGGATAGTTAATATTATACTAACTTACAAAAAAAGTAAAACAAACAACAAGACACGAATGAATTTGTTCTGGCTTTACCTTTTTCGTATCTTCCAGCGTTTTGCTCGCGCAGAGATCTAGTTACATACCGCTAACTTTAACGGAGAAATTACGGATGTTTGCTTAGTACGCTTGTTGTAACCTTTATAATTACAATACTTATTGCATCGTATGTTTTCGTATCTTCAAATGCCAACGAGACGATTATTTCTACACTATCACTGAACGAACCTTTGATAAGTTAGCTCCAGTGACGGCACTGTAGCCAGCCGGCAACAGCCAGGTGGCGCCAGCAGACGGAGAGCCCACTATTATACCCTTTGTCGTCCACTCTAAAAAAACCCGTACATGTACTTTCCCGCACAGCACTCGGAGAGCCAATCACCGGAACTTACGGAGGCAGCTCAGCGAATGACGATGCCGAAACATCTGTCTAGACCAAAAAAACGCACTCTGAGTTATGACATTAAGCAGTGCAAAACGTCACGCTTGCATTGCTTAATGCCACAACTCAGACTGCGTTTTTTGATCTAAACATATGTTTCGGCATCGTCGTTTGCTGAGCTGCCTCCGTAAGTTGCGATGATTGGCTCTCCGAGTGGTGTGCGTGAAAGTAGACGCACAGACTTTTTTTAGAGTGAGAGAACTCCGGTGATACGTAGTCACGTTCCGATTGGCCCGCCAGGGCCGTAGCTTCCACTGTACTGGCAGGTTATACGATCCCCGCTTCCTCACTCTAAAACGAAGTTTGTGCGTCTACTCTCACGCACAACACTCGTAGAGCCAATCACCGCAACTTATGGAGGCAGCTCGGCGAATGACACTTGCTCATTGCTTAATGTCACAACTCGGACTGCGTTTTTTGGTCTAAACATATGTTTCGGCGGTGTCATTCGCTGAGCTGCCTCCGTAAGTTGCGGTGATTGGCGCTCTGAGTGTTGTGCGTGAAAGTCGACGCATAAACGTTTTTTAGAGTGCTAGTTTACCCACTATTTCTTGCTTCAGACACAGGCTAAGCGGCGACACTAGAATGATACCTCACGTTTGAACTATGCAACCGCTGCTCCCAGGCATACCCAATGTTTCTTGCTTCAGTCGCTAGATAGCGCCAAACCAAACAGCATCGCAGGTTGCCTATATACGATGTCGTCAGTTTTAATATATTCCCTAGCCTCCAGAACGTTAGTTTTACTCCGTTTCGGACTATAGCCGGAGCCGACGCTGCGATGCGACGGAGATATTCAAGCAGCGTCAAAAGTCCATCGTCAGGACTCTCGTATTTTTTTGTGTCTTTACTATATGGCCGGCTAAATCAATCACGCGCAGTGAATGCTTCGTCATCCTGCTTCTTCTTCTGCGCGATTGAATAATTTAGCCGATGCACAAATCTAGTATAATTCGCGAGCGTGCAACATGTCAAAGAATGATCTGATTACTGGTGTGATATTTCTGAAGCAATCAGCATCCACATCATCATAAACATGATTACATTTCAGTTTTCGTAACGCTGGCGGTGTTGATACTTACCCCTCACTGAGCCGCTTGGAGTTGCGTCATTTGCAAAGGCTAGGAAAGAGATAGGACGCGACCGATAATGGTTTATCTCGTTTTGCTCGGGGAAGAGGAAAAAAAGCGCATTTTTCCACGCTTGGTGAAGTCTTTTTTTTCTAACCTTTACGCGTGTCAGGTCACGGACGATTGTCGGCCCTATCAGCTTTGGAGGTTGGAAAACCCTTCGGGAAATCTGTCCAGAACTGCGTTCTCGGAAAGGCCGCACATCCTCGCGAATCTCGACGGTCGATGTGACGTCATTTTGCTCGAGCACTTTCTCCAGTTGCCTTCGCGTTACGACTTACACGGTGAATCTGATGGCGTGTGAGCCCTTATAAAGAACCGGAGAAATCAGATTTTTAAGGGAAAACGCTGTGTTGTTACAACAGCAATTTCTTTTCTTAAAAGTCACATCTTGAACAAGCAGTTTTACCAGCTTTAAAATATCCCGATGGATACTGTCAGAACTTTTCACTCCTATAACTTAAATGTTTTCCCGTAATAAATTATTCCCGACATGCCAGTACCATTTAAAGTGCAACTTTGTGAACTTTGAAACGCGTTTATCTCAGTTTCACTCCATGACATCAAATTTCTGTTCAGGAAAACTTTAATCTGATAATGCATTTATGTGTGAAGCAGCTGCGTTTGAGATATTTTGTCGTGTTGTCCGTTATTATTATTTTTTTTTGGCCTCAGGGTTTAGATTATGATGTTTCCGAACCAGCTCGCCTGCATACTTTCCCTGATTGCGGTTTTTGAAGTCTCTTTATTAAAATTTTGTAACGAACCTGGCTTTTACTTTCAACATTTTCACGATATTTTGTTATAAAAAGCTGAACATCTTCACCCCGATGTACGCAAAAAAAAAACAAAAAAAAAAACAATAATTTTTTATTTAAAACGGTACTCCATAGCCGCGTCACTTTAGTGTTATACTATATTTGTCACCAAAAGAACAGTTCATTATGATTACCATTTCTGAAAAATAGTTTTCCTTGGGTTTCGCAGTGTTTGTTTGATCTACATTTACGTAACTCTTTAAAGGATGAACTTCAAAACTTAAAACTTTGCGTGTCATCCTCTTTTCCAGCTATAAATATGCCCTCCCAATTTCATACAAAAGAGGCTAACGGTTCAAAAGTTTCCCTTCCTGAGTAGCGTCCTCGCTTGACATATGATACTAAACCTTATTAGAAAGATACGGCTCTGTGGAGCATTTTGCTTCGAAAAAAATACTTAAATAAAAATAAAAAAACTTATTTTTCTATTTACGGTGTTTGCCTGCAAGGACCAATGTTTGCTCGGTCAGTTGCTCAGCGAGATGGGCAAAATTCTTTAAAAACGAGATGGGCACAACCAGTACTGTGGTGAAATGGAAGATTCACTTCTGCTCTGCGCAGCTAAAAGCACTGCGGTTTCCATAGAGCAATGCCTGCTCGCTCCATGGGACTGTTAATGCTTTTGAATTAAAATGTTAAAGGGGCGATGCAACAATCTTTGTACTGCGCAAATACTGCTTAGAACGGATCCCTGACATTAATGACACATTAAACACGCGTTCGTTTTTCACCCCACGCAATAGAAGTCCCGGAATAAAATTAAAGAAAAACGAGCAGCGTTCACCCACTCAACTCGCAGCCAGAACAAGCGGCCACGTGATCTGGAGCCGATGATATGCCGCCAATGTTGATCATAGCCACGCGCTGGGGCTGGCAAAGCACAAGGCACACGCTGAGTTCCAGATATTGTTATGGCTCGGCT